TCGAGTGAACAAAAAACGTCTGCTTCTTGGAAAGTTCAGTGCCAGATAGGGAACAATGCGCTCTAGAAATGCTGGAAGTTTTGAATTTCTGGCGCAGTCACAGATTTTTTCATAAATTTTCAATGTTTAGTGCAAAAAGCAGTTCGCAAATCTAGCTATTGCTGAGTGAAAAAACCGATTTTTCAGAAATGAAAAACGACTAGTACGTCCAATATTTAGCATCGAATGGATAAGACTGTGTTCTACAAATGCTGAAAATTTCGAACTGCTGTCATCTTCCGAGATTTTTCTACGAGTTTTCGATATTTAAAGCGAAAATGAGTTTGCAAATCCAACACCGCACTGATTAACTAAGAAACTAATTTCTCAAAAACGACAACCAAAGCTACTTGTGGAGTTTAGTGCCAAAAGCAGAAACGTGTATTGCGGAAATTTTAAGAGTTGTTTGAGCGAAAGTTTTGGACAAATTTTCAAAATTCAATCGAAAAATTCCAACCGCGGAAATTCCAACCATTTTCAATTGTCGTGTTCTCGCGCTTTATTTATTGCTTCCCACATATCCAAAACCCACTGGATCAAGGTGAGAAAGCCCCAAGTATACTTAAGGAACGTGCGAAGGTTTGAACGAAGGTTCAGATTGATGAAGGCCGGGAGCTTCCAAGTTAATTTTTCAAGATTGTGGGTTTTCTCTATGTAATAAAGCTCGCGCTTAGTTGTTTTTGCCCCATAAACTTTTCAATCTAATTGTTAATCATTGTTGATAAACCTTGTCTTCAAAATATTTTTATTGCGAACTGAGACGTAGGCATTTGTTGTGTGGGCAATTTCGAATTGCTGTCATCATCAGGGATTTTTTGAGAAATTTTCAAGTTTTAATCCGAAAATGTGTACATACTTTGAAAAATGCACAGCGAAAAATGTGGCCCTCGAAAGGGCCTTTGGCTGCAAATAGACAAATATGGTGTTTTAGGAGTCAGAACAGTTTCGGTCTTGAGAGTTTCCAACTGCAGTC